CCCCAAAACCCCAAAACCCCAAAACCCCAAAACCCCTTAAAAAGTCTTTAATATTGAAATTAGCTTATTCTGCCAGATATCCCACTCTCTTTCACTTGAAAATGCATATGAAATTCTTTAGTTCTTTCGTAAAACATACTTCCTTTAGTAAGTGTAGCTTTGAAGATGTCATCACCAATCTTAGAGTCTCTGTCTATATGCACCCTGTTGGTTCAGCTTTGGAATAAGATTTCTCCATAGTTCGGTTCAAGCTTAGTCGTAGGCTCTGATTCTTTATAGAACTTTCTCACGCTTTTTAAAATATTTGTGAGAACAAATCATACTTGAAACCTTTTTGAAAGTCTTAAGAAGTGTATCAGAACGTTGTTTATAATCCTTTTTCTTTCTTGGTACCCTCTCTCTGCTTTAGATCAGTGGATATTGATCGGATCATAATAGATACATTTAATTTTCTTATTCGATTTTAAGATCTTCTCAAGTGAAATAAAGAAGCTAGTCTGATCATCTTCATCCATGATTCTAAAATGATAAATTCGTTCAAGGATCTTTTCCTCTGTGTATTTTTCTTTAAGTTTAACATCAAGCTCATCATCTTTTCCAAGTGACTTCATTAGTTTCATTCGGAATCACTTAGCCATCTCGAGAACTCTTTCTTCTCAGAAATCCCCATTAGTGTCAACATAGAGAGCTTCTCCCTCAATACCTCCAAGTTCCTTTGGAATTTGGGAGTTCAAGCACAGTTGATAACCAATTTGGCCCTTTCCACAAGCAGAGGGCCCAACTATCTCTATAACCTCCCCTAGACCAAAGACCTCATCTAAGAAATACTCTTCACCACCCTCTTCAATTTCTTGACCAGGATCTCTTACCAACTGAACAGTCTGCCTCTGCCTGCCCTTTCCTATATCGACTGGGTTCTTTAAGAACTTGGAGTATGAATCTGAGATCTCTTTGACGTCATCGAAGGCCGTTCGGATCTTGTCGACTTGGAGTTGGGTGATGTCTTCGTGGAGTTTGTGGAGGTTAGCGTGTTCGACTTCTTTTAGGGTAATGACTCCGCTGGATTGTAGGCTTGTAATTGTCTTCTTTTCGACGTTGAGGTTGGTGATTCTTATGTCTTCCATTTAACTTTTCAGTAAGTTCCACACCCAAAGGGGTTTTGGGGTTTTGGGGTTTTGGGG